GACAAAGAAAGTTTCCTGGAGGAAGGTCACAGCTCCTAAATCAAGGTTAGACAAGCTACTCCTCTTCAGAAGCTCTGAAGTAGGGTTCTCTTGGTGGAAATGAAACTCCAAACAGAACAATGGAAACTGGTCCCACATTATTGATGGCAATCCATTCCAACCTGACTTTCAAGGCAGCTTCCCCAATCTTGTGTCCTCCTGATGTGGTCAAGATTACAATATGTACAATTCTCAGCCAATTTCACTGGAAAGCCTCAGGTAGAGAAAGGTTGTTCTAGGGCAGAGACTATCACCTTTTATGACCTGTGGACTTCAACTCCCAGAATTCTTGAGCCAGCATGGCTGCCTCAGGGATTCTGGGAGTTGAAGTCCACAAGTCATAAAAGGGTTGTAGTTCCCCACCTCTGTTCTACGGGCTTGGAGGCAAAATTTGGTTGGAAGATATGAGATAAGACAAGCCCTTTGGAGCAGCAGATGTGCCCCTCCTCTTTCTCTTGCTCCTTCAGTGGTAATAAATTATCACCTTTTCTGGGTCTCTATTCATTTAATAATAAATCACATCATTAATTATAGCCAAACATTTGAGAATCACATCATAAAGGCAAGTAGACTTGGCTATATACAGGATTCTTCACCCCTGAATCTCTTATTGTATATTTGCTACAAATGAGTTTATATCCAAGGCAGAACATCAGTGTGGACCCTTTCTTCCATCCCTAAACTGGCTGTGCTTGCTTGCTTTTGCAAGTCACGCTGCTTCGCCTCTTTATTATGGAGGTGCTTTTGATCCTCAACCTTCCAGCCTGGCTTTGAAACGTACATTAGACCAATTATGTAGAAAAGTAAAGAAAGCAGGGCAAAACAGCCTATGTTGGTAGGTGCATGGCAATCTTCTCTTTCTGTCCTACTATGGCATTAACCGGCCAATTGCTTGATGCACAAGGACTGTGGAGACAGGAGTTCTTGAAGAGCAGCTGCAACCAGACGGTGCTCGGGACAGGAGAGTTTGGCCCTTGCTGGCGAAATCCTCTTTTCTTCACGGGCCAGAATTGCCTCAATGACGCTCAATGACGCATTCCCTTCTCTGTTCTCAGGCAGATCTCAGATAAACCGCCCCTATCAGCTGGAAGCATCACTTTTTAAATAATAGTTTCAGGCTGCTGGTCTTAGCCTTCAGCCCACAGTAAGAAAATAACTGGTTGATTTCCAAACGAGGAACATTAAAAGCCCAATGGAGATGGAAAGATACACTGGTACTCTCTCTTGAGTTCATTTGGACTGTAGCCTGCAGACATGCAGAAGTGGGAGATGGCACGTAAAAGAAGAGATTGCCCTCTGGTTAGCAATAAAAGTCCTCTTAACCCGTCCCCTGCTGCCTGCGCCCCAATCCCTCTGCTCTAAAGACTCCTGGTCACAATTATTCTTTCTTTTTATTTTATTTATTTATTTATTTTTGCTAAAGGCTCTTTGAAGACAAGACCTTCAGCTGTTGGATCCAACTGACACCTCACAGCCATCATTTAACTTTTTTTTTTAGCTTCTGAAATCTGGGAGGGGGTGGCTAATTGATGACCTCAGTTCTGGTATCTCTCCCCCCCCATCCCCCAACATCTAGTTTCCTGAGCTTCCAGGGCGTGCCACCTAGATCCCAGGGAATAATTTTTCTAGAGCAAGGAGCATTGGCATGCTTCCTTAGTTGGCATGAAAAGCTCCGATGGGGACCACAAACACGAGCTCATTCCAGTCTCGAAATCGGCCTGCAGGTTGTGCGGGGGGTGGGGTGGGGGTAGCTGAAGCAACTTAATGTGTCTGCACCAGGACCTGATGCACTCAAGCAATGCAACCAAAGGCGTACATTAACCTGGGACAGAATGTACTGCTTGAATAACCGAGCAACCTGGGAACACAATAAGCTACAGTATAAACAGGTGGGAAAGCTAAGCAAGTTTCTGACTGAACCCAGCTTGGATGACAGACTGCAGGTGAGCCCTGCCTTGTGTGCAGAGATCCTTGGAGGCTAAGGAGGGCATTCTAAAAAAAAGAAGCACAAACCAGTGAGCAAATAATGAAATAGGCATAGCGTCCTCCCATACAGTGCCTCTACCTGCAGATCCAGGCTGGTAAAGGAGACCTGGATTCAGCTATTTCTCAGCCTCGTAGTTCTCTTGATGTTATCCTAGCCCAGTGGTGGGAATCAGCCAGTTCGCACCAGTTTGGCAGAACCGGTAGCTAATCTTTTGTTGCCCAGGCCCAGAATGGACTTCCGGAAGTGGCATCCACACAGAGAACCGGTTGTTCACATATTGGAATCCCACCACTGTCCCAGCCCACTAAGGAACACCAAGCACTGCTGTTGTAAAATCATTCAAAATAATCCGTACTTAGTGCTCTCCAGATTTATGGGACATCAATGCCCATCTGTTGCGTTGGGAAGGATAAGAGTCTAGATCAGGGGTGGCTCGGAAATTCTGGGAGTTGAAGTCCACAAGTCATAAAAGAGCCAAGGTTGCCTACCCCTGGTCTAGATAAACACAACTTGGAGGCTTCAAATTGGGAAAGACCGCTTTAAAAGCTCCTAGAAACATCCACCCAAACCAAGTATCAGCATTGTCATTTAACCAGCAAATATTTGGGGGAGGAGGTGGGGTTTGACCCCTGGCAGGCTGCAAAGGGAAACCATTTCCCCCCCCCAGACCATTTCCTTTCAATTCCAGCAATGAGCCATCTGAATTGTAGTGACAAAACATGTCAATAAAACATGGTTTAGTTCTTTTTTTAAAACAAAAGTTCTAAGCCATCTCTCATTATTTTACAGTGTTTTTGATAAGTGATGATGCCGTTGCAACGGGGAACTTTTTTCTTTTAACATATAGTCCTAAATACTCAAATAAAATAAAAAAGGTGTTTGATGCTCCCAAAGTCATTCAACAACTCTAAGCAAATATAGTAGGGTCACTTCAAGTGACAACTTGCTAGTATGTTTTTAGGCCTGGATGATTACAGAAAAGTAGGAAAAAATGGCACTGAGCAGTTGCACAGGACAAGTAGCAAGATACTTTTTAATGGGTAAAAGTGATCAGGGTTACAAAAATGTCTTCTAGGAGAAGTAAGGTTGCCATCTATGTCCCTTCATCTTCTAAAGGATTATTGGGAGAGTGCAAATAATAATAATAATAATAATAATAATTTAATTTATATACCGCCCTTCTCCCGTAGGACTCAGGGCNATTAAAACAGACAAACAAAATACATCAAAGAACAAAAAACCCCCATAAAACCAAATTAAAAGCCAAATATTAGAAGCTGTGTGTCAATTAAAATTTTCTTAAAATCATCCCTACCTAAAATCCTCCCTAGGTCAGGCCCGCTTGCTGGAAAAGCCATGTCTTGAGGGCGCGGCGGAAAGTAAGGAGATCCGGAATCATCATCCGGAATCAAAGTTATCAAAGACTCATTAAGGAGAATGAATACATCCTTTTCAGAAATCCTCTTTAGATTTTGTTATGTATGATATATAATATATAATGGGATAACAAGTACCGTATTTTTCTGTGTATAAGACACTATTTTTTCCTGCAAACACCCTCTTCAAAAATCAGGTGCGTCTTATACACGGAAAAATGGTAACCTCCGCAGCCCAGGGCATGCCTGTGTGGGTTGCCATGCCGCCTGGTGCAGTGTCAAGTCCCTGTGGGCTTGACACTAACGGGAGAGGGGAGGGGGCAAGATCTTCTGCCGGCCGAACATGCGGATTTGCCGGCTCAGCTGTCCGGCGCTCCGCCGAACAACTAATTGGCGCGGAGAGCGTCTTATACACAGGTGCGTCTTATAGATGGAAAAATATGGTATGTACTCAAATCAACGATGGTTCTTGATTTGCCAATTGCTTTGTCATCTTCTGGGCTCTGATAAGCCCCTGAAAAGTTCTCCTCTGCACTACCACCAATGTCCCAAGTGGGGTAGAGCAAGGACAAGTGGAAGACGCGATATAGCAGAAACACACGTGCAAGTAAAGCAAAGGGTGGTTCTATCAGCGATTGGGACCAGAGCATAACCCAGCTCCAACACTGTCCTTGGTTAAGCAAGACCACAAAGATCATTTTATGAGGTTCACTTTTCTCTTCCTTTTTGGCTAGCCTGAAATTAGGGCTGAAACAAAAATGTGCAAAATAACTGATCATTAAAATATAAAAAAAAGATAACCTCAACTAGAAACTGCAAAATTAAATGGATAGGCCAGATAAAATTATTTCAGCTGGTGTGCCTCAACTGTCTAGCCCAAATGAAGGCCCCTAAAGAGTACCAGCAAGAAGCGTCAGTAGATAAAATCTTACTCTTGGAAAATCTTTCCCAGTTGTTGGAAAAGTGTCCGAGAACTATATATAATCTGCTAAATCTTTGTGGGAGCAGATATAAGTGGAAACAACAACATACAGAGTAGGATTGTGCCGGAACTCTGAAATGTGGAACAATTCACATCATACGAAATGAACTTCAACATAGATTTTCTGTAGTTTTTACAACCTGCTCACTTTGAATATAGCAAACTTAAGTTTCTGACTATTTCCTTTCTTCATTTGTTTAGCTCTAAGTTAAAAGCAATAGTATTTCTTTCTTTTTTCTCCTCAGTGCTCTTCCCGCTACTGCTACACTAATTTCAATATACATATTGAAAGCAGTTATGGAAGCAAGGGAAAGCCTAGCATATATACCAGCTTACCCTAAGAGCATGTGTATATAAATATACACATACGTGTACGCACGCACGCATGCACGCATGCACACACATACATACACACAGGCTGCAGAGGGAGCTCAAGTAGACCAGTAAATGAGCAAATGCTCACTTGACGCAATGAAGTTTGCTAAAGGGCAGAGAGGTTACTTCTCTTTCCTCTCTCCTTTCTTGCTTGTTGTGTTATTATAAATCTCTCTCTCTTTCTCTCTCTCTAAATATATTTCTGTTTTATCAGACACAGGATCTAGAGGCTCAGCCAAGCTCAGTCTCGACTGCTTCCAAAGATCTGCAGGAGAAAAGAAAATATGTAGATGATGTCCAGGTATATGTTGAGGGCTCCAAAGATGTATTCCTCTGGACTCATGGCATAAGAACGGTTCCCCATCAGGAGCTGGGTATCAAAGGCCAGGAACTAAGGAGCAAACACAAGACAGTGATTAAAATGCAATCTTTTGGTGTCCAAGGTGTTGGATGGAGAAAAGGGTAAGGTTGTTGGTTCCCCAGTCTGTACCCCCAAATCCCATAATTTAATTAAGAAGAGTTGGCAGTGATTGTATGAAAAAAATGTGTGCAAAGCCTATAGCCCTAGGCACGGATGATCCCAGATACCTCTTGGAAGTGCAGCTAGATTTGCATCCATGACTATTCAGCATCTCCTACCCAACTCTGCTCTTTGCTATGGAAGTTCCCTTGGACTGGATTATAAAGTGAGAATTTTCTCCAGCCCTAGGCCAGCTGGAATTCCAGTGCATTCAGTGATAGAGCAAGAACATGAAAAAGGAACCGATAGATGTGTCCTGTTCTTCCTACCCTTGTTGAGCTAAGCTTAGTTTTATTGTGGTTTGTCAAACAAGCCATAGTGGCTAGGTTCACATAGTATTCTAAATCAAAACTAAACCATGCACTATGGTTGATGCATATTTAATTGGCAGGACAGAATTATCCCATATCTGCACCCAGAACTGCATTGTTTCTTCCTTGTCGGGTACTGACTGATTCACTGCAGTTTCTCCATTGGTAAAAATGTTTCTAATTGCATTGAAATAGGAGGTTCTTCCTATAATTTGCAATTTGAGCTTCGTATCTACAGATCTGCTTGACTATAGCTGTTATTTGCTGCTTTATTTCCAGTGCTTCCTTCTTTGCTTCTAAATGGTATCTTTTGATTAGGTATTCTTTGGTCTTCTTGTTCTTCAGCTTCAGCTTCTTTTCTTTCATCTGTTCTAGCTTGCTTGCGTCTGATCTCAATTTGCTGATCTTATTTTCCAGTCTAACCTTCCATTTTTGTGGTGCACTGTTTGGTTTTTTTTCTTGATTTTGCATCCCAGGTATTCAGTTATAACTGCAGCTATGCTCTACATTAGTTGGTTTGTTTCTTGCAGTGAGTTGGTGCTTATACTTGATATTGCAGTATTTGCATCTTTTAATGCTTGTGCTAGCTGTTTCTTTGAAACAAGCTTCAATGCAGGCAGCCTTATTCTGATGTTTTTGTGCTGTTCTAGATGCTCAGTTATTTTTTGTTTCAGTTCTTTTATTCCTCTACTGCCAACTCCACATGATTTGTCTCTACATTCTGAGTTATTTCTGGCAAGGCTTTGATTTCTTTGGCCTGGGTAAACCTTTGCAATTCTTCCAATTCTGCTTCTGTGAATACAGTACTTTATTTCGTATTATAAATTGGCATTGATGTGCTAGCCTCTGTTCTGTTATTTCTGATTCTGGATGTTGTTCTTTCCAGAACTGGTGCATTCATTTCTGATATCTTCTTCTTGTTGGACTTGATCTGTAATAACAGATCATTATTTCTTTGTTTTCGATCACTGTATATATGTGAACACCTTTTCTTCCAGTAGTTCTGCAGCTGCTGGCCCTGGTTGCTCAGCCAACAGTCTTTGAGTCCTGTAGCCTATTTTTCACCAGCTATCCAGGAACTTCAACATCTACCATGCACCTTGTTAACCCGGGTGACATCTGAGCCGGTATGGCTTTCTGAAATTTACATGTTATCATATTTTTTATGGGAGAGACACCCTTTGTCTAACTCCACTGATGAGACCTGTCCAGTATGGTTGAACCTCTGGCATAGCTCTCATCTTCCTCAGAGCACACAAGCCCCATAACCACATCAAGGTAGTGCCTCACTGGGCTCTATTATTATTATTATTATTATTATTATTATTATTATTATTATTATTATTATTATTATTATTATTATTATTATTATTATTATTATTATTATTATTATTATTATTAGCCATCTCATTTCCTTTGCTTCATGACTGTTTCCTAAAAGCCTCATTAAAGAAAGTTGGCAGGACCTCACCATTCATATTTGTGATTTAGTGCCATGAGCAATCCTGGGTTATCAAAGGTGCAAAGGTGACACGATCAGAAAGCAAGAATAACAGCCTTTCTTTGTTTGAAGTTGGAAGTGGTAAGCTGGTTTATTCCAGTATTGTTAACAGGATTACGGGAATAGGCCGGATAACCTTGTTGGCTTAAGGCACCGGCCCATTTAGTTGATATGTGTATATCTCTCCTATCATTGAGTATTTACGTAAGAACCATATTCAAAGATAAATGGAAACTGAGGGAGGGTTGCAGCGAAAAAAGAAGAAAAAAAAACTCTTTTGGTAGCTCAGAGAAGTGTGCAGAGAAGTCCACAGAAAGGTTTTCCAGGAACCCTGACAAAAAGAAAGAAATGTTCTAGCACACAGAGGGCATATATCTCAAATAAGGAGGTTCATTCCCATCAGATGGATTGTGGAACGAAGAAATAGGGCTGCCAACTGTTGAGCTGAAAACACTGCTGACTGGTGGACTGAATCTGTCCTTAAATGGTACATGAAAAAGGATCTGATGTGAGACCAGCCTACAGCATTTTCACTACCCCATTGCCTTTTTCTTTGTTCTTTGCCTATGTCGCATCTCTCTGCATGGCAGAGCCCAGAATAGGGAAAGGGCAAAGTCTATACAGCCAGCCTTCTCCTATGAATGCACTTGTTTTCCATCCCTTTAATACAAGTATGTGGCCTACAAGCTTCTAGAATGTGCCTTTAAAAAGTTGATGGCTTTATTGAGACCATTCATTCATTCATTTATCCACTTAACAATAGTTCACATTTCTGGTTGTTTTGCATTGGTGCAGAAATCCAAACAATAAAACATGACTAGAAGAGGAGATTGGCTTTTTATGGGGAGAAAAATCAGGCTGAACATTCTTTCCATCCACAGATTTGTATTTTGGGACCAACTTGCTTGAAACTGACCACTGACACCATATACTTTCCATAGTCCCCTTATGTCTATGGCACATTGTAGCCTATATTGTTTTAGCTTTCCTTTAGGTCTGCATGTTTCTAGATGTTTTACTCTGCTTTAGATTCTTAAACTGAAGAACGAACGGCATTGTCCAAGGACTTCATCTTCCATCTGAAGGCAGTTAAGGAATGATGCTTGCCCATTAGGTAAATATTTTACCTAAATTCTATAAGTTTATTGTAATATCATAAAAGGGACATACAGATCTCACTACTTTAACCCAAACAGGGACAGCTTTCAGCCTTAAGTCCCAAAGGTGCTTTTTTCAAAAGGCAATTGGGCTTCCTTTGTTTAAGTTGCTGACTTAAAGGACTGAAGAACTGAAGAAGCTTCTTGGATCAGAAGAGAAACATCTTCAAGGAGAAAAACAAAGAAAGTCCAGTTGCCTTTTGAAAAAGCACCTTTGGGACAATCATGACCTGGATGACTGAGAATTTCCATAAACCTTCAGCCCTAGGGATATTGAATGTCCCTAAGCCAGATTTTTCAAGCTGTCAGAGCCTCTCTGGAAGCATCACCAGATTAATTTCCCATCACTTTGAAGAGGTAACATGTACATTAAAATAGGCTTCACGGTGTTTTAAAAAAATTACTTGGCAACCCACCCAAAACAGAACCTCCTAGTCTATGTGCATGATGTAATTCCATCCACTTTGTATCATCACCAAGCCCACTTTCAGCTTTTGCTGGCCCTCCCCCCTCTGCAAAATTACATAAGATCCATATCCACTGAAAAGACTCTGCTTGAACCTAGGCAAGACAAGCAATGCTGACTTACCATTGTAAATACAATTGCACCCAAGACAGCATAAATGGCCTGGAGCCATGGCACCTACAGAGAAAGAGACAGAGCTTTGGGATCAACCTAATAAGACAAAATTTATATAACCTATACGAAGACAGAAACTTCCAAATGTCTGCTGAAAGGAGGAAGGTTTAGTTTGTTCGCAAATCTGTTTGTATCCAAAATAGAAATGTTTCTGAAAGAAGGAAAAGAACCAAGTGAGCGTAATGATAGATAACCTTGTGGGCGGAAAACATAGGGCAGCAGATTCTAACTACCCGTAAGGTGGCTCCCTAAGGTAGGACTCCTTCATTTGTGGCCCTGGAGGTTTCTTCTTGAAATAGTTGCAAAACTGTCCTTCACCAGCACAGCGAACAGGGTTAAGGATGCTGTAGTTCATCCTGCACTGGATATTCTGCATTTAACAGGGGGTTGAGGCCTTGATGGGACCATTATCTTTCTAGTCATTCAGTTATACTGCCTCTTGCAAAAAATTGGGACCTCATTAGGGACTTGTGTGCCTGCAGAAATCTACTGGTGGCCTTCTCATTCAAGCTACTCTAAGGCTACATCTTTCAGTATCAAGTCTCTACTATTTCTATCGCTATATACCTTTCTGTGAGTACATATGTGTAATTAAGGAGCTTCTCATATAGTCAGACTAATTAAAAAGCACCCTTAAATTTACTTTGGGCCTGAATAATTCAGACATGTAAGCAATATTATTTTCCCATTTTTGCTTCTGTTAATATTTAAGATGAATGTATGACTGGAATGTTATACATTTTTACATAGCTGATAACATCTCATTTGTACATTATCAGGCCTCGTGTAGATGACGGAAGCATACATTCCCCTCAATCAGATTTTGAATAGTTATCGCTTTTTAGAACTACCATGTTCAAATCAGTGTGTGTGTGTGTTTGTTGGTTTGTGTGTGTGTTGTTGTTTTCTATAGGGATAGTAAAAAGATCACACGGTAAAGCTTTTATCAGTTTGTTGCATTGGTTAGCAGCAATTGTAAATGGGGGAATCACAGGAGTGAAGCTCCTTTATATAAAGACTATTTGTAGCAAGATTTATTTAAGGTCAAAGACCAAATCAAAATGGGATTTGCTACCTTGTCTTCAAGTAGAAATCACATTAAGGAAGAGGACAACTTTCTCTGGGTCAAGCTAGTTGACTTGCATCCTGTCTGTTTCTCAACCTCCATTCTTGAATGCATTGAAGCATACAATTCATCATCTTGTGATCGATTGGAACTAGCTTCAGGTCATGATCTGCTCTTATCTACAGACTTGCCCAAAGTTACCGTTGTGGTCAGGAAAAATGATGGGAAAGTCTTTTAACACAAGAATGTGCTGAAAGCCATTTGGAGAAGATGGAATATGAAATGCAACTCTTTTACACACACATATGCGTTTTTGTAAAAAAAAAAAAATCACGTTGGGGGGAAGGGGTCTTTTGTTTGACAATTGCCATCTTCAACATTCCCGGAAAACAAAACAATGTGTTTTTATCTGGACAATTTTTTGTTTGCCTTACCTATCAGAGTTTTAGACATGAGGTAAATTAAGACATACAGAGGTCCAAGATCAGAGGGATCAGATACTCTGAGGACTAGGCTAAAAGTATTGCTAACCCTCAACTTGTCTGCTGCTTCCTCTGAGGTACGGCACTTTCCCCTACGTCTCTCTTTTAATTATACCAAATGAAAAGAAAAGCTGATCACACTCAATGGCTTGGCTATGGTGAAAGGAATTGATAAATGCTATTTCCAATCCATCAGTATTATTATTTTTTAAATGGACATCTATGGGGAGAGGAAGAATAAGTTGTTTCTCCCAGAACTCTAAAATCCCGGCAAAAACACACTGTAAACTCTTTTCTCCCACACCCTGTCAGAAGCCTATGGGGGATTATTATTATTTTTTAGATAATAATGTACATTAGAAAATCCTCCCACTGTGACGTCTTCTGCTACTGCGGAATGATAACAACAGAAGAATGTGAAGGGAAGTTCAAAATGGTTTCCAGTGGGAAGCGATTAGCGATGACAAATGATCCCAGCCAACAAAGCTAACGGAAAGCCCAGCCCAGCCGAAAATCAAGCAAACAAAGCACGCCTATCAAAGGGACATAGGCCAGCACAAAGCAAGAGCCCGCTCCCTTTTTCCATCAATATTTCTCAATATCTTGAAGGCTCCTGTGATAACAAATGGTAGAATGAAAACTCTGTTGTTGGGATGGAGAGATTCTAACCTCCCTCCCTGCCTCCACTCTACCCATTTCTTTCCGTCTCACAATAAATATTTGCCCTATGAGCAGTTCAAAACTAAACACAACCCAGTGACAAAACTTGCCACTGCGAAAATGATAGCAAAGGCCTGAAACACAGGTAATTGTTCTGGCAAAACAAATTGAGGCAAGGCTTAGGAGGAAGTTGCAGTTAGAACATTTAATCAGTGGAACGACTTGCTTCCAGAAGTTGGAGATTGAACAACCATTTGTCTGAAATGATATAGGGTTTCCTGCCGGAGCAGGGGGTTTGACTAGACCTCCTCCAAGGTCTCTTCCAGTTCTGTTATTCTGTTAGTCTATTGTTCTGTTACTGAGCAAGAATATATAGAAAAGAGGGCAAGAACATAGCAATTAGATATAGGCAATTAGCAGCTTCCAGAACAGATTCCACAAGCAGTAGAACAAAAGGTTAGCAGAAGATGGCTGATAGGTTTTTTTTTTAAAAAAAAAAAAACCTCATCTTTACCCCCCTCCCTTAAACAAGGTATCCCAAAGCTGTTTACCACCTCCATGTGATAACTGCCACTTCCCCTTTTGGCTGACAATCTGTCCCAAGCCTTCTGCCTTACACCAGCTTTGCCAGCAGCAGTTGTGATAAAAGTAAACATTTAAAAAATAGAGGAGAAAAATAAATTAAATCTAAAGAGGCTAGTGACAAAAGAGAAAGGAAATGATTTCCCTTCCAAATATATAGAGAGGTTCACATACTTAGAATATAATAGAGTAACAGAATTGGAAGGGACCTTTGAGATCTTCTAGTCCAACCCCCTGCTCAAGCAGGAAACCCTGCACCATTTCAGACAAATGTTTGTTCAATTTCTTTAAAACTTGCAGTGTTGGAGCATTCACAACTTCTGGAGGCAAGTTGTTCCACTGCTTAATTGTTCTAACCGTCAGGAATTTTTTCCTTAGTTCTAGGTTGCTTCTCTCCTTGATTAGTTTCCATCCATTGCTTCTTGTCCTGCCTTCAGGAGCTTTGGAGAATAGCTTGTCTCCCTATTCTTTGTGGCAACCCCTGAGATATGAACCAGACTGAACCATGTTTGCTTTCAAAGGATCTTTCTGTAGTTTGATTAGTGAAGACAACATAGATACAATGGAAAACTAATGCAGAGAAAAAAATTAAGATAGTGGTTTTTGCTTCTAACTAAATTGCATAACTGAGCATAGAAACGTAGTTCTGCCTCTCATCTGCAACTAGATATGGCAAAATAACACTTGGTAGGATGCATATATGGATTTGGTTAACAAAAATACAAAACTTACATAATGGAAAGGAAGTGTAATAGCCAGTATGATCCCACTAAAGAGCAGCACCATCAGCATCACAAAGAGCACCCCCTGACAAGACGTAAAGTCATACTGTGGGAGAAAATAAGAGGACATTAGTGTACGATGCATGGATGAATTTGAAAGTCCCCTAGCTCCTGGATAGCCTAAGTGATGCCCATATCTGCCTTTCCCAACTTAATATTTACCAGATACATTGAATCTGCCACCTTAGTCCACCAATGAAGTTGATATCCAATGAATCTTCAAGTCACAAGATTTGAGTGAGCCCCCAATAAATGAAATTTCCCAAATATTTACTACTTCATTTAGTACCCATATGAGACAAACCACCACTCCTTATAGCCCTTACTACATGTTCTCTGAACTTAAGATATCTTATATCTTATATCTCTATTCTATTCTATTCTATTCTATTCTATTCTATTCTATTCTATTCTATTCTATTCTATTCTATTCTATTCTATTCTATATATTGTATATTCCCTTTTATGTTATCTACTGTATAAACCCCAACACAGCCCTCAATACCAATCATAAGTAGAGATCAGGTGAAGAGTACCGGTCAATGCTGCATGAACTCAGCCCTTTCAAACAATAGAAAATGTTTGACTTGCACGTGGAAAGGGCAAAAGACTCTTCCAAATTATTCTACTATATTTTGCTCTTTTTTTTCGCTCTTTCTGCCTGATAAAGTTCTTCGGAATGAGTGATGATATAGGATGGGGTTGTTTTTTTCAAAAAATAAAACAAAACAAAACGTCATACTATTTGAAGAGGACTTGCCCAACAACTTCATTCTTAGTGGGATAAAAATGATTTTTACTTGCTCGCTGGCAATACTTGAGCCAATTTGCAAATTTGGATAGGGGAGAGGGAAGAGAGGCAAGGCTAATTCCATGGAAACTTGGCCTTTTGAGGCAACCATTACTGCATGACAAGAAAAACAATGTAAGTTTGCTCGATGATGAAAGCTCTATAACAGTATTTCTCAAACCTCGGCAACTTTAAGATGGGTGGACTTCAACTCCCAGAACTGAAGTCCACTCATCTTAAAGTTGTTGAGGTTGAGAAACACTAGAGTGAAAACTTCCTTTTGCTAAGACTGCAAATAACTTGACCACAAAACGTTCTTGCCCGCTAACTTTAACAAAGAAAAACTTCTCTGCTTACATATGAGATGTAAAATCAGGGAGCTATGATATAAATTTGTGCACCTTGGTCTGGAAGCTAAATATGGTGACGGAAAGGCAAACCAAAGCTGTAATCCCCAAGCAGAGGAGGACGGAGGTGGTGTTGTAGTAGCTGCAAAAGGAGTAAATGACATGACATCATTGAAAAGAATCAAGCAATCAACATCAGACACCGTAAGAAAGTCTGCTTAAAATTTATAAATTTGCCTATGGATCCATTTGTTAATCAAATGGCCAATTTCCATCTTCGGGGTCATAGAAAACCATCTGTGGGATATCTTTCTAATTGACTGCCAATTAATCCCAGCAAGAAAAGTTCTGGTTTCAGCTGAATGTTGATCCTGAACATTCTTTGTATCATTATATGTATTTAAATCCAGAACTTTTTGGCTTTTTTTTTTTACAAGTCCACCAGGCATGATAAACTGACCTATCATGTTGTTAACATAATAAATTTGAAGTACCTTTACACAATAGGGTCCTTGATGCTCTCTGAGCTTGATGGTTTTCTTGTAGAGGTTTCATTACCAAACCAGTTAAGATCATGAAGATGTTACCTAGTTTGCTAATGAAACATCATGCAAGAAAACCACCAAGCTCAGAGAGCACCAAGGACTCCTCAGTTTAACTCTAGCCTACAAATAGTGTCTTTTATCCACACCTTTAAACATTCTAAGACAATTTTTCTGCAGTCATCTATACCAACAATGTATCATTTTATAACAAATCTCTTTTTAAGTTATAACAATGTAAATTCCAATTTTTTTAACATATTTAAATTTTAATTTAAAATGTAATTTCCCATTGCTCCATCCATATATTGTATCCAAAGTTCTTATACCTAGACTTAATTAGAACATGCTTTCTAGAAAAATATGCTCAGTATTCTGAGTGTCCCAATTTACGTTAGCTTTTGTATTCTTTTGCAAAAGCTTGCTGGATAGGTAGGGGAGGCATTGTGGTTATTGCCCTGTTCAGTTGTCCAGGATGCTTGAGTGACAGCTTTGTTTATCTGCTCCTCACAGTCCGTTTGCTCTCCCTATGCTATTGGTTGGCCTTTGATAAATACAGAACAATGGAAATCCATCATGTTGCTCTCCACCAGATTGTTACAGCAGAAACAAAAGGAGGATTATACAAGACCCAAACCAGAGACAGATTAAAAAAAAAACATTTATTCTAGCACCTTCCCCCTCAACCCACTTCAATCTATTCCTTTCTGGGCAGAATTAGGGTTACTGTATAGCAGTTGCATGCTATCAGCTTGTTCTTGATTCCCCAAAACGATGACGTTCCAGGGGAGTAAAACATTGGAACAGTCCTTCTGCTAACACTTCTTCTCCACTCACTATAGCCTTTCCTGATGTGCAATGTGAAGCTGTAAACATAGACACAGTAGTGTAGTCATTCTGTTCATTGGCTATTTTATTTTGCCCATCTGCCCAGGTATGTTATAAAAAAAAAACCAGCTAGAGCTTTCAGAAAAATATGGTTTTCATTATTACAGAAAAGGGATAAAAAATAAATAAATCTGTAAGTAAAATAAATCTGTAAAAAAATAAATCTGTAACCATATTTTGAGGACTCTATTGGGTGATTTTAGGCAATGTATAAGTACTCCATCCAAAGAAAATTGACCATTTTTCAAGATTGTTCAATGTCCTTAAGATTTTACCTTAAAACGAGCATATTCCCATCAAAATAGTATGAGGTTTGGTAATCTCGTAAGATTTCAAACATTATTCATTGCCAGTTATATAAAAAACACAGAATTAATTTTAAAACTATTTTGTATGATTTCAAATAATAAGAAAAATTAAAAGAACAAAAATACGGTAAAAATAACCATTGTAGTATTTTCTCTTTCCTTTCAGTTAAGGGGAAATATAGTTAATCTTAAAAGCTTTGGCTAACCAATATTAAAACAATGGTGACTTTTATCGAGAATTTAATAAATGAGTACGGAATTAGTATTTGGGACTTTATTATTAGTTTTTTCCATCTTACTAGCTTCTAGTGCAAACCACATTAGCAGAAAATTGAGCTTGACTGCAATTCTGTCCCGTCCCCTTATTCTTTTAACAGATTGTCTTCCTACTGCCAAACAACTGCAGTTCATTTGATGCTGATCTAACTTAGGAAAAGACATTAGGATAAATAGAGGAAGAGGGTGGGCTTCCTTCTGAAAACAGAATATTGTGTCATGGTGTCCTGAATCAATAGTACTACATGCCAACTAGGTTAAATAAATATTAACCCTTTTCCTAATGTTGGAGATGCAGTATAAATGATAAACGCAACCCTGTTGGGAAAAGTTTCCTAATTATAGGCCACTGATTATTGGCTATGGATTTGGGCTACAATTGGGGAACTGAAAAATAATGGTTTTAGAAAGTCTAGAAATTCAAATCAAATTATATATTTGATATAGGGCTTGATTTTTACAGGTAATGATTGCAGAAAAATTGCCAGGGAAAAATATGGAACAGCTTGCCCCCAGAAATCGTGGGCGCTCCATCACTGGAGATTTTTAAGAGGAGGCTAGACAGTCACTTGTCTGAGATGGTATAGGTTCTCCTGCTTAAGCAGGGGGCTGGACTAAAAGACCTCCAAGGTCCCTTCCAGCTCTATTCTATTCTTAAATACACAACATGTTATTCAGACGCCTGGAGACATACCTGGAGAGCATTCCTGTCAAGTAGGCCATGGACAGAGTCTATAGAAATAATAAAAAAAACCCAGTTACTGCAGGAGCAAAAACTGGATGCTAAGAAGGAAAAAGGGTGTAAAACTGTTTATGGATATCATTCTTTGAGCCTTTCCAAGACAAGTATTCACAACTAAGCTAAAAGACCACATTCTATAGTCTACCATATTCCATAACCATCCAACCATTTTATTGTTTATCTTGTGGTAGAAAAATAAGGAAGAGAATAAGTGAGGTTTTGGGCAAAGAAGGGGGTCCTTCTAAGAAACAATCATGTTGAACCTGGACATGTGAGGCATGAGATGTGGTTAACTAGGTAATTGTACAAGTTAATGAAGATGTTGTACAGATAACTGAATAGCTACATGCAGGGCAGGTTCATAGGACTGAGGCTGAAAATCCTACTATTCTTGTTAACTAATGATGTGCTTGGTTTGTTTACTGCACCAGTGAGGAGCTGGAATCTTCAGGAGTTGACAATCTATCCCTTATTGGTCTACTGGATGGTTTCCACTGATAGTGCACGCCATAATTACTTGTATTTGGAAATAGAGGGCGATAAATGTTTTGCCTTTTGAATTTACAGATTAAAGGAGGGAAGTGTGCTGTAAAAGTCCCCCCAGGGCTGAGCAACTGTCCCAGCACTGACTAGGCTACTCACAAAGATGCTGAGGAGAATCAGGTTCCATGGGAAATACCTCCTGTGAATTAAATGAAAAGGAGCCAAGTGAACCAGGTTATCCAAAGTGCATCATTGTGAAAAGAAAGTTGTACATCATTGACTTTGCATAATAAGATCATTAAAGAGCAACAGAGCAATTAAAGAAATCAGGCCCCAGCAAGTACAATTTTGCAAGAATTCTGGTACACAAAAGGGCTTGATATCAAGGCACCAGCTTCATTTGAATTATGGCTAAGCCTAAAGTACAGGAGTTACTGAGTGAAACATTTGTATGGCATGAAAATTAACTCTCACCTCCTAATTGCTGTGGATGGAGCTGGGCAGCTGTTAAAGAGTCAGCTAGTGCTGTTTGAATAGCTAGCCAGCCTAATTTGGATCAAATATTAGCCAAGATATTACACATTGAGAGACATCAGTCCTTTAAACCAAAGTAATCAGGTGAATGAGAACTTCTCTTTTCTAAGTCAATGTATAATATATAATATATGTAATATATATATAGAGAGAGAGTAGAGAACTTCCTCCAACTATAAAATGTCAAGACATAGCACTGGAATATAGCAAATGTCTTTTGATGCACCTGAAAGATAGAATCTAAGCTAGTCATGTTAATTATGTGAAGCTGTTTTGCTTTTTTTCTTTCCAGAATTTTTCCTTCTTTCATCCCCTTTTCCCCCTCCCAGAATACTTCTGTGTATATATAATGGTAGAATCGAAGTCCTGAGTATTAACCAATTAGAATTGAGAATTTTATCCTGGACTTGCAGATGGAAAGGTAATATCTTAGTTAAATGTTTTAACAATTAAAAGATGAGTTCTTCAATTTCTCCAAAAGATGATCATCTTCAATTAAAAGATCATTTCTTCACTGAGCATTAATGGATACAAAGTGCAGTTCTAAAAGAGGATTGATGGCTGGTGGCGACTAGGCATTGAATGTATTCAACTGCTGTTCTGAGGATTTGGGATAAACCAATGGAATGGTTTTGATTCAGCCTGCTTCCCCCTTCCCCCCCTCCCCCAAGGGCAGATGGCTGAGTTTTATGGCTAACAGGCCAAGGAGATCTTGTGCAAAGAAAAAATTATACCTTTTTTTGAAAATTAATGCCCATCACCTTGTAGAGGAGATGGGGTGCATACAAATTTAATGAATAAATAAAATCTCAGGATTCATATTGTCTATGTTCTTGTTCTTCCTGTTATATTCAACATGTTCAAATGTAAGTGAATACTGTTGCATTTTTAATCAGCCCAATAACAATACATAATACAAAAACCTTATAATCCCTTTGATCTGTTTCCCAGAAGGAAACAAATCCATAAAAATTTGGCAGCCGTATATCTGGTTCTTTAGAGAGGTCAAAGAGACTACCGCAAGTGATGTTAGATTAGAATGTCCAAACTTCCACCACTGCACAGTCTCTTCCCCAAGCAGAATCAACCCACCAGAAACCCCTTGTAGTCCAAACCCTTTGTGTTAATTTTACCTTGGTGCAGAGCAGCAGGCAAGGATCAAATAGGTGATAAAGAAAACGGCACTAGGAAGAAAAAAGGAAGAGAGAAAAAGAGAATCAACCAAGGGGAGGAGAGGGAATCCTGCCTGTTGTTGCTCTGAATAATTAAATTAAATTAAATTAAATTAAATTAAATTAAATTAAATTAAATTAAATTAAATTAAATTAAATTAAATTAAATTAAATTAAATTAAATTAAATTAAATTAGTATTTTTTCTTTCCTTTTTCTTTCTTAGATGATCAAGGGTGAACAATTTCTGAGAAAGAAGCACTATATAAATACTGGACATAATGATTCCTCCTTCACTAAAAACAACAACAATACATTATAATATTTTTTACCAGAACCTACTGGGATCGGTAGAACAAAAACACAATAAAACAGATTCCAGATTGAAACTATGTAGATGCAAAAAAAAAAAAAAGGGGAGAAGGCCTATAAATAGGGAAGGGTCGCCAAGATCAGGAAGTTCCCCTCCGTAACAGTGTCCTTAAGTACTTCTTTGTGCTTTCTCCATAAAATTAAATACTGTAAACAGCTGCTTTCAGCCTTTCTCCAACAATGGCCTTCTACCAAGACAGACCGTTTGTCCACCTTGCCCAGTTGTAGTCCTGATACCAAATTCTAGGAAGGGGGATGGAAGCAGTATCTTTCTGTGCTTCAAATTATATAAGCCCTTCCCAGCACCCATATGTTGTCTTTTATTACAATGTTGTCCTCTACTGCTGTGAACATTATGCTACATTTTCTGTAGTAACAAAGATAGATATTTGAGGAACAGGTTTGAAAATATACCCTGTGCAAAGTCTGTTCCTTGTGTGATGGTAGAGGAGAAAATAGCAATGCTCCCTCTCCTCCAGTTTATGCACCCCCGAGCCCGTTTTGTAGTTTTGATCAGCATTATTCCACAATATATGGACATTAGGGCTGCACAAGTCTCTGGAAAGAGATGCTTTGGAACCCACCAAAGCAGGTTTTCCAAATGTAGGTGTTGGGACAATTTAGCAACTTGAAAAGCCATGCTTTGATAAGCTCCCACACATGTCCACACAGCTGTTAGTAAGTGCTGTGGCTCTATAGTAAACAGAACACAAACGGCCAGGATCTGTTTCCAGAGCAGGAGCACAAGGCAGACAAAAGACATGGCTGCTTTCATGAGTCGAAAAGAGGAGCTTCATACTATATGTGTGCCTGGGTATTCCAAAATACTCATTTCAGATTATTTGTTCAGTTCTAGAGGATACTGTATTTGTATACAAGCTTCCTGTACTCAGTTGTCCTCCAGAAGTGTTAGATTACAATTTCCATGATCCATAGACAATCTGCTGGCAAAAGATTGTCAGACTTGAATTTGCAAATATCTATATTTCTATATAGAGATCCAGTCTGGTACAGTGGTTGAACCATCATGCTAGAAACCGAAAACAGTGAGTTCTGGTCCTGCCTTAGACACAACGTCAGCAGAGTGACCTTGGGCCAGTCCCTCTCTCTCAGCCCTAAAAAGCAGGAAATGGCAAACCACTTCTGAAAACCCTTGCCAAGAAAATTGCAGGGACTTGCCCAGGCAGTCATCAGACAAGAAGGTACACACACATTGTCTGCCTGCCTGCCTGCCTGTCTGTCTATCATCAATTTATATCTTTATTTCTCTAGCTCTATATAGCTGAATATATCACCCAGAAGAGATTATTGATCTAAAGAAAATTAACTTTCAACTGGATGGCTAATTTGGCACATATTTTCCAAGTCCTTTAAAGCTTTATGTTGAAATCCAGACCCCATCTCAGGGTGAAAAATAGATATTCGTCATCCCCAGTTCAATTCTAAACAGGGGTTGGAAAAGGTCATCCATGTACTGTAACCAATTAGCAAAATGCAATGGAGATTTATTAGAGACCCAAGGCTTCTGATTCAAAAGAGAATGGGAGGTTAAGGTTAACCCTTGCTCCCGACGCATTCCACCAGTATTTTTCCACGAGATAAAGTTTAATAGAATGTAACCTTAAACTGCTCCCCAGACAGTCAACCTCTGCATGGTAAAGAAGAAATTGGCTTGTTAATGGACAGACAGGTTTCCAGTTACATTTGCAATAGTCAGGCTGTGGTATGCCGTTAGGCTGAAGAAGCAATGCAGTTGTGAAAAGTTGGCACCCCTCAAAGAGGACAAAGGTACTGCACCTTGAACAGTTATGCAGAATACGAAAATTCAGCAAGCCTCTTGTCACGTAAGCTAGTCTTGCTGTTGTTTTTCTATTGTATCCAGCAACCTAGGATTTTAATGCTCTGTCCCATCTCACCCCATCCTTCTCTTTAGTGTTTAACTGACTCCCTCACCTTCACCCCAAAACATATCCACAGAAGAATGGAATATTATTGGGACTTGGGAAAAGAAGAGAAAACCTCTGTTGGGGGTAGTGATGAAAGTGCTAGAAACCAGGAGACCATGACTTCTAGTCCTGCCTTAGGCATGAAAGCTCTCAGTGACTTTGAGCCAGTCTCTCTCTCTCTCAGCCTATCCCACCTCACAAGGTTTCAACCAGAGAATAGAGCTGGAGGGATCTTGTAGGTCTTCTAGTCCGGGGTCCCCAACCCCTGGTCCATGGACCGGTACCAGGCCATGGCATGCCAGCAACCAGTCCACACAATCAAGCAAAGCCCCATCCATGGGATGCAGGCAGCACACAAAACCACACACTCTCTGGTCCATGGAAAAATCTTTCTCCACGAAATCGGTCCCTTTTGGGCACCTCTGTTCTAGTCCAACCCCGTGCTTAAGAAGAGACCCCATACGATTTGAGATCCGTGGCTGCCCAGACAAGTGGCTGTCCAAGGCTTGTTGTTGTGGAGAAAATAGCAGGAGGGAAGAGTATTAGGTATGTTTGCCACTTTGAAGTACTTATAAAGTAATAAAGTCAGGATTTAAAAACCTAGTAAATAAGACTTTTTGTGTATATATATATAAAGATGCTTACCTGCCTAAATTCTCTCTTCAAGGCCACTATTCATAGTAAAAGAAATTCTCCATCTTCTATTGCTACTATTGGACCTTGATAATGGATTCATGGCTTGCATAGCTTTTTCCTGCTGGAATCGGCTTTCTCTAACATTTTAGATGCCTCTTACCCATACTGATAATTTCATTTCCCTATCTTTGATTTCCCCTCGATGACCGGAAATTGAATATGCCAAATGACTGTGTGACTGCGACTGAACTGTAGCCATTCTGGGTACCTGCCAGAGTTTCAAAGCTGGCAAAGAGCCCACCACCCCAACATTACTGGTATTCTAAGTTTGCACACAGAGCCATCAAGACCAGTTTTGATCTGAGTCTGGATGAAATGCTTTGCCCATGAGATTCTGGAATTCCTGGGTCATCACAAGGACTGATTCCACTGAAAGCCAGAATACCTGAACTGAAACTGAATGGTAGAGACTTGCAGCAAAACAAAACATGTCCTCTTCCAGAATAAGACAGTGGTGGGATTCAGCAGATTTGCACCAGTTCGGCAGAACCGGTAGCTAATTTTTTGTTGCCCAGGCCCAGAATGGACTTCCAGAAGCGGCATCCACACAGAGAACCGGTTGTTCACATATTTGAATCCCACCACTGGAATAAGCCATTCAATTCTTCTCTCTCACTTTTCCTTTCCCAGCATGCTCATTTATGACTAGACCTTAGATCTTTCCTTTTAAGATTCTTTCATACTACAAAGCTGATACCTTTCTATAACATCTCTGAGTCTGCATTTTCTTACACAGCTATCACCCATCTGCATCTAAATTTGAAATTAGGGGAAATGGAGAGACATTTGTCTGTGGAGATGGCTCTGCAAGACCAGTTTATGCAGACCAACATCAGGGTTTTGACCTCCAAATTAGGAAGAAAAACTTCTCAAGAACTGGTTCTTCCATATGAGCTCGTCTGATGAAAGCTCTAACTGTACAAGTTCTTCTTCAAGTGCTTTTCTTATCTGAGGAAAGATCACATGAATATTGAAGATGTTGCTGAACTACAATTCCCAGCATCCTTCTTTCCATATAGATTGGAAATGGTAGCAGTTGCACTTCAGAGGGCCCAGATTTCCCAACTTGTATGAATATTTGAAATGTTTAATAACAGCATTAAAGAGTGTATGTACGCACTTTGCTTAAATAAATTATCCTTTCTTAACATACTGTCAGAAGAATAATTTGCAGTTCTAACTAGAGCTAGAGTTGCATAAGAATAAATAAAAATGAGATCCAGACAGCTGCGAAGAAAGAATAAATATTTATTCCTAAAAGCTAAAGTTTGCTTTTAGGGGCAGGCTGCAGAGAAATGAGGTACAGCAGCAGATTTTTATAGGGGGGAGCTTGTCCAGGATGTGGAAAGTGTCTACATGCTGATTCTAGGGTTACACTTGAGGGGAGTGGGTTGTTTGTTTGTTTGTTTGTGTGTGTATAAATATGTATTCTTGTGAACATGCACTTCTGCTGGGAGATCTAAATTAACTCTATGTTTGCAGATCTTATCCTTTCGATATGTGGATTAGGTCTGGGTAACTTACTTCGGGGTTGTTAATTTGATTAACTTGGAGACACTGATTCTCAGACCATTGTGGATTCTGTTAATATTTTTAAGGGAAGACAGAAACAGTATCAAGAATAAAATATATTTGGATGTAAAACTTCTCACAGTACTCTTGTTACTGCTTAAATTGAGCCCATGAATTTGGGCCAAAATTGTGCCCCATTGTTCGTTTTTCAGTTATTTATTTGCTCGGCCTCTTCTCCAGCTGAAAAAAAGCCCTGCCAATTGGACAGGTGCAACTCTTAAATTTCCTAGGCCTCTAATCACATAAGGCAGGTATGTAGATAGGCAGGAATCTTTTCCTTTCCCTAGAGCAGGGGTAGGCAACCTCGGCTCTTTTATGACTCATGGACTTCAACTCCCAGAATTCCTGAGTCAGCTATGCTGACTCAGGAATTCTGGGAATTGAAGTCCATGAGTCATAAAAGAGCCGAGGTTGCCCACCCCTGCCCTAGAGAATTCTAGAAACAGTGGCCAAAGTATGCACAGAAGAAAGATAACAACGCGTGCTTTATCCTCTGAAATTATGATTTTTAGTCAATTGTCCTTTAGCCTTTAAAAAAAGAAATCTGCAGCAAAATTAGGAATAGCAAAAACAGTGGGGAGATGTGCCCTTTTCCCCTTCTCCTCCCCTATTTGAAGCACTGAGTATGGAGGATTGTGAGTAAAATAGCAAAGAAAACAAAGGAATATAGACATGGTGACCAGACTGAACCCCCTCAAACAAATAGAACGATAAATAAATAAAATTGGCTATCACCATTTTTACACTTTGATCCTAGTATACTAAGCCGGTCCATGTCACCTTTTCCTTGAAAAAAAAATGAAATGAAGCTACAGGGTAATTTTGCAAATAATGTTTCCTATAATAATGTTTATAATCCTATAAGGTGCCATGTTAACTTTGATGGCTGACATACAAATAATCTCTGAGATCAAATATGTACTTACTAGGAAGCCCAGTACCAGGCTGGATTTGCTTGGATATATCCTTGAACTGGTTTACTGCAATAAAAACGCAAGGGATTAGAAGAATGAGAGCAAAATATGGAGCACTAAGTCCTTGATTAAAGAATTTTAATACTGATCTAATCATCCTTCTAAGAATGCTTTTATAAATGATAAAGTACTACCCTGCTTGCCTGCCTGACTGCCTTTGTGCAGAGTTAGGAACAGCAAATATTGATGCTGGTTATAGTTAACTAAAAACAAAATAGAATGCTTGATTTCTGAAAATCTGAAGACAAATTTGGATTTTTGTGCTTGATTAAAAATACATCCCTTAAGGGATGCTATGATCCGGATATTTCTAAGTGGCATTCCATAATGCTTTAAATGTGCACTAAAATAAAATACACTTGAGTCATGCAGTGTAAATGTATGATGGGAACAAAATATTTATGACAATATTCCAAATGTTTAATTCCCCCATTTTATACATGTAGAATATGAGAATATGGGAGGAGGAACATCAATAGGGTGAAAAAAAACTTGTTGTTGTTGTTAATTGCGAAGTCGTGTCCGACCCATCGCGACCCCATGGACAACGTTCCTCCAGGCCTTCCTGTCCTCTACCATCTTTTGGAGTCCATTTAAAATAGCAGGCCAGAAAAAATAAACAGCGGCAAAAGGTTTGTTTCTAGGCAGGGTTGCTAGGACAGAGACTTACCAGAAAGTGAAAATAGCCACAATGCTGACTGTAACAAGGAGCTGAATTGAAAGGATGCTATAAACCTAATGTCAAAGAAACAGAATAAATATCAGCCTGGTTAATGCTCAGCAATTATTCTGAAGACTTGGTAATTAAAAAGCAAGCCAGACCCTATCAACCTTGTTTTACCACCCACACTTTTGAGGGGGAGAGTTCACACATTATACTGTAATCTCCTTACATGATCATGTTTTGGCCATCTCCATAAAGGCCATGTAATCAATACTGGAAGAAAGGGGTTGTTCATGTGGACAGGTGTTCACACGAAGGAGCTGTTTTATGTGTTGATGAGAACAAGATCCATGAGTGATGGTGATGCCTCCAATGAAGGAGTCCTCAGTAGAGAATAAGCTGTGAAGCTATAGTAGAATGTAGGCCAGATTCATGGGAGAGAGGGGCTCTTTCCCAGGGGGCAGAGACAGTGGCGCTTTGAATGTCTGATAGGCAGGAAGAGGGCAAAGATGGATCCCCCACTAAAAGTTCGCAGAGTTATAGTTACAATTGCTTTAGTCTGACAAGATTTATATCTGTAGGTTAACAACAATAAAGAAACTACTCCAGTGGTTCTCAACCTTTTTAATGCCGCGACCCCAACCGGTCGTAAGTCGAGGACTAAACTGGTCGTAAGTCGAGGACTAAACCGGTCGTAAGTCGAGGACTACCCAACCGGTCGTAAGTCGAGGACTTTCCCTGCCCAGGAGCGCCGCGCATGCGTGGTTCCGCCCCCTGCGCCGGCCGGGGCGTAGCTGGCAAGCAGCAGAGACGGAGCAGGCCGACCACCAGCTGGCCCAGCCCAAGGGAGATAAGGCACCCGCCAGAAAAGGGGGAAAAAATGGTGGACAGCCTTGCTTGGCGACCCCCGTGAAATGGTCGATTGACCCCAAATGGGGTCCCGACCCACAGGTTGAGAACCACTGAACTACTCAGAAATAACTCCCTGTTTTGTTCCTGGTTCTTGGGGACTGACAGAAACTTCCAGAGAGCCACTGAGCCTACAGAGTCTTGAATCTAGGTCTAACAGTCCTGAATCTAACCCAAGACAAAATTCCAGGTTCAAAACTTTATGTGGCTAGGAGTTTGCCAAAATTAGAATACCTTCAAGTCCCAGAAACTGGAGGAAACTGATGATCCAGATCTAAAACTAAGAGGCTGGAATTTTAGATGACCTAAGGGCTGAAGTTTGAATGTAATTTTAACAGTTGTGATTTCATTTAGTTAGTAGACAATTGGCCTTGGCATTATTATTTCTGAAGCCCCTCTTCATGACTGGAATCTTTCTGGAATCTGCTTTAGCCTCTGATTCTATTTCATGTTTTGTCTTTGTTCTAATGCCTGTTCTTGATCTTGGGCTTCTTTCTGACGTGCATAAAATGAACTAAGCCCTTGCAACCTACCATTCTTCCTTGCTAATGATTAAGCGTTGAGTTTGGTTTGGTCTTAATTGCTTTGACATTACCTTCCTGATGAATACCCTGCGCACATTCTGGTCATCCCAGCTGAAAGTTGTGAAGGTCTCAGTTTCCCCTGAGTATCCACTTCCATAGTTAGGACTGGAATCTGTAACAGGTGGAAAATAAAGACTTTGTCTAAGCAAAGGAGTATGTGCTCTTCCCTACTGGAATTTATGGTTTGAATATTTATTTTACACAAAGTTTCAGGTTTAATTTGAATTAAATTGAATTAACCTATTATCTGATTTTTTTTTCTGAGCTAATCCACAAAAATATTGGAGGCAAATTATACCTCCATAAGGACTATGAAAGTATAGATGTCAATATTATAGAATGGGTAGCTCTTCTGGCTGGTTTCAGCAGCCCACATTCATTCTGGGATGTCTATCCACTACGTAACACAGCTTTGACGAAAACTTCCTTCATTCTATCAGCACCCCATTCTCCTTTCTTCTGAAATCACTTGCGGGTAATGGCAGTCAACCTTCTATGCAGAGATATTTCCTTGCCCCTATGGAGCACAAACACCGTTGGAGGAAAGTCATGCTAATTTACGGTACCAAAAATCAAGAAGAGTCTGGCCATACTTTTTCTGATGAGCACATTTTATTCACAGGCATACACTTTTGTGAGTTGCATCTCACTTCATCCGCTGCACGAAGCCAGGCATTGTTTTCCTATGCCATTTGTCCAGTAATAGCCAGCTATGACAGAAAAGGCTTTCGGAAGCGCACAGTAGACCATTACTCTAGAGCAGTGTTTCTCAATCTTGGCAACTTGAAGATGTGTGGACTTCAACTCCCAGAATTCCACAGTTAGCCATGCTGACTGTGGAATGCTAGGAGTTGAAGTCCAGACAGCTTAAAGTTGTCAAGGTTAAGAAACAGTGCTCTAGAGTACTCGCACCTGTTTCTTCTCTCAGGGCAATTGGGCTCAGAAAAGGATGAAAGTCCTCTCAGCCATTCATTGAATTAGCAAGCTGTGGTGGTGCTTCCCTTCACTGTTACCTCATAGGACTGTTGGACTCCATGAGCAAGAACAACAAACAAAGCCTCCAACCCAGCTGGTCAAAGCAGTTGTGAGAAGAAATGGTGATTCCCCTCTGCCTGCTTCTAACTTATTATCAACAGTATAGTACAGCATTCCCATGATATTCAAAGATAACCCCAAAATCACTGCGATCCACTGACTCTTTGGCCCTAATTGATCGTTAGTGGTATCCATGTGATTAATTTTTATTTTTTAATCTGTTCTAACCTACAGTGAGTCTTTTGACTGGGGAAGCCTATAAAAGCTGCAAATAAACAAAGAAAACTGAACCTATGTTGATATACTTTATTTGAAGATGTGCATTCCTATAAATTGGATATCATACAATACTGCATTAACATGTAATAATTGTAATAAATAGGGAAGGGGAGAAAAATATATCAATTTTAGTATGAGCTGGCTGAATCTGCCATTCTTATATTCAGGTAGAAGTGCAAATGAAACTGGACTAAGGTTTCTGAATATCTCCAGTTGCTACAATATAGATCTTCAACTCCCAAAAATGTACATAAAATGCCTACCTAAAAGAAAACCGTGTATAACATGAGTGGACTAGTGAAATGACGTAGAAAATGCAAGGGAAAGTACAGCGGGATTTATTTTATTTGCACCTGAAAATATGCATGCACCTGTACGTATATGATTGATTGAATTTTTAAGAACAGCTAGTTTTCAACTGAGACAGAAACAGAACAGGACCAACGTACCTTGAAAATAATAAAGTCATGTGAGGGGAAAAAAGTCACCACTGACCATCTCTCTATATAAAGAATATATTGAATAAAACACTCTGTATAAATAGAGTACTTTATAATTCTAAAGAGAAAAACATACATTTTAAAAATTAAAGTCTAAGTAGGATACGTAGGGTTTTTTTTATTGCCATTCTATTAAGTCTATTTTAGAATTTATTTATTTTTTTTTAAAAAAGAATCCCTGCTTTATAGCTTGGTCCTGGGCTAGGTGGGTTCTGTGCATTTGAATCCTGCACATATGAAGGTATAGGGAAAGAGAAGCAAAGAGACAGAACAAACTTTTTGAGGCTGAAGTGCATGGAAAGTTCCCATCTCCTAGATGGGCAGTTTTAAAAGATGTCACAGGCGACAGTATCAGAGGTCAAAGATCTAATGAAAAAGAAAAATGTCAAAGATGAACCTGGAATGACTTTGAAAACTGCATGTTCCAGTTCTGGTGAAAGATCTGACCCCCCCCCCCCAAACTGCAAAGCAGGATCAAAAGGCCACAAGGCTGGGGGAGTCCAGGCACATGTTGTCCTCTTGAGATCATGTGAATATCTCAAGAAAGCAACAACTGCATAATTTGTTTAGGCTCCTATGACGTATGAAACTGCAAGAACTGCATGCCAAGTTCATGTGATTGGTGTCACAGAACTCACATGTTACTGTTTCAACTATTCCATTACCATTCTATCTTTTGAAACGCTAAACAGATAGTCCTCAACTTATGACTGTGAATGAGCCTGGGATTATGGCTGTTAAGTCATGCCCAATTTTATGGCCTTTTCTTTGGCGGTCAGTAAGCAAACTCCACAATCATTAAACAAATATGGCGGTCATGGAGCAAACCCATTGCACTCAATGGATGGGTTTGGGTTTTTTTGCAGGAAACACTGGTTTCTGGCAAAAGACATTATAAATTATAATCACATGACTGCAGGATGCTGGAAAAGGCTGTAAATGAGGGGCAGTTGCCAACTGCCCAAAATGTGATCATATGACCAAGGGGAGGTGGGTAGCCATTGGAATCAAAATTAACTTGTAAGTAGCTCTGGGGAGGCCTGTCATAACTTCAAATAGTTGCTAAATGACCCCTTGTAAGCCAAGGCTACCTGTAATGCTATCAGGGGTGGATGGGTGGGTTGGTTTTATATCTATCAACCAAAGAACTGAGGTCTTGTGGGAGGGAGGCTATAAATAAAGTTTGAAGCAATAACTGTCTTTTATCACTATCCTCAGCAATTGGCATTTGATAGGGATTCCATTTCACTACATTGGGCAAAGTGATCTATAGTTCATTAAAGCATATGCCTTTTCATGCAATTTGTTAATTTGAAAAGGTGCTACCACAACTTTTTCCACAATTCTGTGTCAAGAAGAAAGAGAGATTCTGAGGAATTACACAGAGGGGTTGGCAAAACCACTGATTAACTTTCCATATTGGGGCTTAATATTAGGGAACTCAGGTTTGGGAACCACGTCTCAATATAATTGTAGAGATGATTGTGTTGCCAGTCCAAGATGATGCACAGGAGGCCAAAAACCAATACCTCAGAGATTAAAACCACCATCACCACAACCACCACCAAGAATTTCCAATATTTTTAAGACAAACATTTATCATAATATAATCTATCATGGATCATAGCCTCTGCCATAATGAAACTATTATTTTGTAAGGTGAAATACAACTCCCCGCTGTTCTTACTGCCATAGGCCAATACAGTTACCACTGTAGAAAATGCACTGTAGATGTATTACAATATTCTTTTTTTATTTTCATTCACTCACTTTCCCAATACCTTCAGGCAAAGGCTTAGTCTGTTTGATTGCTCATACTTGGGTCCTAATTTTATTGAGCTGTTTGCTATCTGATCTCCAGGAATCTTTTTTTGTTTAAGTCTCTCCTTTAATATATCTCATAAGTGACATTTCAGTGATTATAATTGGAAATCCTTTCTCCATGGAGAGGAGCCCCATGGAAGGCAGACAAGCAAGCAACATGATATAATAGTGTAGGGCAGGGGTGTCAAACTCACAACGTCATGTGATGTGTCGCAACATATCGCGACTTTTTTTCCATTGCCGGCAATGGGGTGAGCACGGCTTCACCATGACGCATTCAGCCCATGGCCAGCAGTTTGACACTCCTTGTGTAGGGTATAGAAATAAACTGTACCCCAGGTAATCCTTGATTTATGACCGTTCCTTTAACAACCATTCAAAGGCCTCAGAAAAAGTGGCCTCAGAAAAAGTGACTTACAACTTATCCCTCAACTTACAACTTATGGCCTCAGAAAAAGTGACTTACAACTTATCCCCAAAGTTACAACCATCACACACAGACACACACACTCACTCATACCTATAGTCATGGGATCACAATTTAGGTGTTTGACAGCCAGCTCTTATTTTCTACAGTTGCAGCGTCTTACAATTACGTGAATGGGATGTAGGACCTTCCCAGCCAGCTTCCAGCAAGTCTATTCAGTTGGGGAAGCTGAATTTGCTTAATGATCACCTGGCTCACTAAACAATTGGGTGATTTGCTTAACAACCTTGGTAAAAAAATAGTAATAAAATCAGGTCTGGTCACATGATAATGATTCGCTCTGTGACTAGACCAACTAATGACAGAAACTCTGGTCCAAATTGTGATTGTAAGTCCTTACCTAGTATATACCTCCAGAAAACTGTAAAAAACATATTTCAAACCAATAGGCAGCATTTTGCTAGCAACAGGATAAAATGAAATGGTGAAGACTATATTTTTTTATACGGATCAGACTTTATTTTTCAGCTGTGGGTCAAAGGCTTTTATTCTTGAATATTAAGCAAGCTCATGAATATAATTAATCCTTGTGCAGATGGATTCCCTTGGCCTTATCTAATTGTCTGAGATTAACCTACTTGACATCACTTATGATGAAAACTCTGTCCCTCCAGAGACAGATGTGTCTCGGCTGCACAGCCTGCTTTTTTTAAAAAAAAAAACAACAGTTGGTATCTTGCTTAAGCTAACAACTGACTAAGAAAAACATTATCCAAGCTTCTGAGTTAAATAACAGTCTGAATTCTTTGATAAACAATCAGACTGCTACTACACATACCATATCCAATTAAGAAGAAAGCTAGGTATGTCTTTGTTTAAAATATGTATATCCAAATTTAGGTATAGAAAGAGACTGATCTTGAAATAATGCTAATCTAAACTAAATTACATCTGCAAAACATCAGCCCCCATTAAGATGCTGGGTATAGGGTTTCCTGCCTGAGCAGGGGGTTGGACTAGATGACCTCCAAGGTCCCTTCCAACTTT